CGCTAGGATGTGCACTGGCCACCATGGGGCAGATGCTCCAACAAGTAGATTAGCTTGCTGCTGGGGTTGGGCTCATTGGGACTGGGCAAGACAGGCCAGACACACCCTGGAACCAACATCCCTCAGTCCCTCCCCGGCATCTTTGGAGTGAGCAGGGTCCTTCCAGCAGGCGGGGTCCCTTGGCCTGGTCTGTGGGGATTGGGGCTAAACTGGCTCTCTGACATTCCGAGGGGTCCTGGAGTGTGAGAGGGCACTCTGCAAAGTTGCTGTTGTACAGGGTGTAGAACTCAAACAAAAGTGTGCAGTAAACCAGACTCGGGGCCAACAGTGCCCCAGAACCAACGTAACCCACGGCTGAAGGTGGAATTGCGCAGCCCCGGGAGGAATCAGGCTCCCTCTTCTCTGGTTTTGGGGTGCATCACCCAAGAACCGCCGCTGCCAAATCACTGCAGCTCAGCAGCTCGTGTTAAGTGTCTGCCCCCTCGTGGTTAGTGCACATCATAGCAACTAGTCAGATGGTGGGAGGGACACTTAGCATATTAGCCTTTTATATACGTAGATATGTTGATACGTGTTCTTTTCTATTAACAAACTGCCCTCGCAGACACTAAAAGTTGTCTCAATGGTAAAAAGTAGCTAAATGCCTATTCTACAGGATATAGTTAATTGGCCCAGGGTGGAATGCCTAAATCAAGCCTTCTCTAAACAAGGATTTGTAATTACAAATTTATAATAAAATTCCTTGATCTGGGAAAATGTAGGAGGCTCAGATTACTATTGGGTCATCAATAGACAGGACCTCTAGTTATTTATAATGGCTTCAAAGTTAAAATAACCTAAATTGTTAAACAAACAATGGTATACCCATACAATGGAATACTACTGAGCAATAAAAAATGATGTACTGATATATACAAGTGAACATGTAAAATATGCTAAATGGAAGAAGCCAATCATAAAAGATCACATAATGTACCATTCCATTTATATGAAATGTCCAGAATAGGCAAATCTATATAAACAGACAGAAGATTAGAGGTTACTTAGGAATTGGTGGAATTGGAAGGAAATGGGGATAACCTTAATGAGTACAGGGTTATTGTTTGGAGTGATAAAAATGTACTAATATTAACTGTGGCGATGACTGCACAACCTGGTGAATATATTAAAAAACTATTAATTATACAATTTAAGTGTGTGAATTGCATGATATATGAATTATATCTCATTGAAGATATTATATAAAAAATTTAAGTCATAAAATTTTTCAATAGAAAGAATTTTAAAAAATCAACTAGTTACCTGAGATTTCTTGAATGCTCCTTAAAAATACAAAACCTTTTACTTGGGCGGTTACTGTGAAAGCTGGGGAGACAAAACAGATTTTATTAGTTTTATTCTATAGTACTCACATTAATTTATAGCTATATTTCAAGTCTATAATTAAGTTTCTAGTTTTGAGTAAAACATTATGGTATAAATAAAATAATGTTTGTCGTCCTGGGTAATTCTATATTTTATCTTACACTCCATTTTACCTATTTTCTAATACACAAATTTCCCTATGTATTTGCTTATATGATCAGTACCCTTATCATTACACAAAAGTAAATATTCAAGTTTTTTTAGAAGTAAAGCACAAATTCATTTTCTTATCTGTTGAAGAGTTAAAAGCAATTTTAATTTTTTGCTAATTTTTTACTGTAATATAAACAGTTATCAAGAATAATCATTAAATTGTTTTCCAATCTTAACGTCCTCATGTTGGGGAGAGGGGGTAGAGTCTAAATGATCTTCTTGCAAGTAAACAATACACAAGTGAAATGCCATTGTTTAGCATTTATAAAATCAAACATTTAGAGAGTTCTTTGTAGTTACTAGGAGGGGTTTAAAAAAAGTTTAAAGCAAAACTCATGAGTTAAAATAATGCTTCCACTAAGCATAGAACAGAAAACACTAAACAACCTTTGTAACCAAATATTGCTTTTATATACCCTTTTATATGTTTTTATTGATTTCAGAGCGAGGTAGGGAGAGAGAATCATTGTTCATGCCTCCTGTATGCCCCCTATTGGGGATTGAGCTGAAACCTAGGCATATGCTCTGACCTAGAATCCAACTGTGACCTCCTGGTTCATGGGTCGATGCACAACCACTGAGCCACACTATATACCCTTTTACATATGGTAAGGAAAGCTTCCCTGTACTAGAAAGACAGGATTAGTTTAACACAATATCACTAAAAGTGGAGTCATGGATTTAAAAATCAGTATCACCTGGGGACTGTAGACAGGAAGCCAGCTATACAGTTACTTAACTGTCCTTCTACTGACAATTATTTAGAACCAATAAATCTATACAAAATATACACGAAACTCAAGCATATCTTATGAAAATTCAGTAGTCTGTCTTATTTATTGTATAGGAATAATATTATTTTACCAACATTCTTTTTCTTTGGTAATTTTTTAAATCACTCTTCAAAGCCTACGTGAAATATCATTTATAGGACACCTTCCCTTATCTCTTCTTTAAAGAATTTGTTCTTGCCTCCACTGTGCTCTCATAGTAATTTTTTTATCACATTAAGCTAGGTAAATAGTTATCTCTCCTACTAAATTGTAAAAATCAATGGCAAGGACTTTATCCACAACAGCTAATATTGACAACTTAGAAAAAAATAGCTATAATTACTTGAATGCTTCCTAAATGCAAATCATATTATTAAGCACTTTAAATCTTACATTTCTTTTAATAATCAGAGTAACTTTCATTTGAAGAAAATAAAACTGGGAGGCAGATTAAATAACTTGCCAAACGTCACAAAGAAAATTAATAGATAAATTGTGAAGCTTAGATTAAAATAAGGATTTTTCTGATTCTTCTCCACGAGCCTGTCATACTTCTTAGCAAACAGCAAACTCCACTAGAAAAGGAGATATTGCCGAAACCGGTTTGGCTCAGTGGATAGAGCGTAGGCCTGCGGACTGAAGGGTCCCGGGTTCGATTCCGGTCAAGGGCATGTACATGGGTTGCGGGTACATCTCCCGTGGGAGATGTGCAGGAGGCAGCTAACTAATCGATGTTTCTCTCTCATCGATGTTTCTGACTCTCTATCTCTCTCCTTTCCTCTCTGTAAAAAATCAATAAAATATATTTTTAAAAAAAGAAAAGAAAAGGAGATATTAACATACAGTACTTATGGCTGCTAACTTTATTATATGTAGAGAAAAAGCCTTCTTATACATCACGTTGAGGAAAAATACCAACATACAGCAATTTGTTTGGATTATTTTAGGAGTCTCCTATTGCTACCTAAAAGCTATAAGGTCTAATAAAACTACCACACTCAAATAATGCTCCACTTAAAAAAAATCACTTAAAAATTACATGTTTAATGATGATCTACCTTGAAAGAGTCTTATTCCAAAAATGCTCCAATTGCATCACTACTTTTGAATATCCTCTTTTGAGATTTTATGTAGAGCCTTTTATAATTATAACAAATAATAACTATCAATTGCTGTCTGTAATGTTGTAGATGACATGGTAAATACAAAGAGCCCCGTCTTTCAAGGAGATATTCAGACACAAACAAATGTAATAAAAGGCAGAATCAATGAACAGTACACAACTCAAAGGAAGGAATGATCCTTGTGAGTGGTTGTGGTGACCAAACATTTCAAAGAAGGCCAACTGAAAGGAAGGACAGGGACTAACAAAAATAAGGAAAACCACTATCAAAAATGAGTACAGGAAGAGACTTTACTCTGGAAAAGAGCAGTCAACTTAGGGGGATGGGAGTCTTTATAGAAAGAATGACTGGGGCAGATTTAAGACCAGAGGGGAAAAGACCAATTGAGAGGACAGAGGTGGTATGGATAGGAATTAAATGTACTCATCCTCTGGAGGAAATGTAACTTCTGAACCTACAGAACTCAAGGTTATAACAAGAATCCAAAATGGGCAGTGGTACTGATGGGCCATTCAATGGGAGATACCAAAGGCCGTGAGGCAAGAGCACCAGTGAAGTAGAGAAAAAGGAAAGGGGATTTACCATACCCTAAGAGTGGCAGTGGAAGCTTTCAGTTCCCTATGAAGCTAATAATGAATAAGAGCTTAGCATGTGTGATGACAATGAAATGCTAGGTTGGGGCTCACTGAGGAATTGGGAAAAGGGTATGGGAGTAGGGATCATTGAAAATGTTTTGGAACAGAATGGATTTGGAGGTTGTACAGGACAAGCGGGAAGTATATGATAAATGAGAGTTGGAAGGGTGGAATGACACAAGATTTTCCAATTTGAATCCCTGTAAATTAAGGGCAGATTTAAAGCCCCATTTGGGGCAGCAGCGTATTTGTCACAGAATAAGAGGCTTCACACAGACGTATACTGGGAGAAAGAACGCATGAGGCCTGGTTTGGAGGAAATGGAATATAGGTGTAGACCACTGCAGTAGTTGGGAGGCAAAGTGGCAAAATGCAGGAGGTGGGGTATTCAGGAAGCCATGCAAAGTGGCAAATCAAGAGAACTTCATGAGCTTAAGAAACTTGGAACGGTGAGTTATTTCCAGCTGGTGTTCCACAGTCAAACAGATGATGCTCCGAAAGAGTTATCTGGGTGGCAGTTGTCTGATTTCTGCAGATGATATAATGTTTGGCTTAATTTTGTTCCTTTTAGATGCCAGTGAGTCAAAGGAAATTTTCTATAAAGTAATTAGAAATATACAGTTGGCTCTCTGGAAAACTAAGCATTAAAGTGGAAAGATTTAAAGTTGAAAGGTAAAAGTTACATTGGTTAAGTTACCAGCAATGGAAATGTAAAGAGGCAAGAAATGTTGGAGAAAGAAAAGGCAATGAAGTAGAGGAGCAGCCAAAAAGGAAGAAGAAAAAGAGTGGTAACAGTTTAACAGAAGCTGAGGAGAATAGTTTCAAAAGTGAATGACAACACAGATCATCTTTAAAGGGCATGGTTAGTTGGCAGGTGGGGATGATACTCAAATTTAAGGGTAAAGAAATAACAAGCTAGTAACAAACACTTTGTACCAATGTAAAACAGTGAGAGAAAGACAAGAAATAAGGAAAGTAGGCAGTAGAGACAAATCTCCATCTTAAAAAAGAACCTCAAAATGTGTGTAGCCCTAGCTGGTTTGGCTTAGTGGATAGAATGTCAGCCTGCAAACCGAAGGGTCCTGGGTTCTGGGTTTGTTTCTGGCCAAGGGCATGTGCGTCGGTTGCAGGCTCCTCCCCGGCCCTGGTTAGGGCATGTGCAAAGAGGCAAATAATCAATGTGTTTCTCTCACATCAGTATTTCTCTCTGTCTTTCCCTCTCTCTTCTACTCTTTCTGAAATCAGTGGAAAAATATCCTCTGGTGAGGATTAAAAAAATAATGTAAGCAGAAGGAACCTAGTTGAGAGGAGATAAAGTAGCAAGTTAACTGAATAAGGTGGTGGAAGAACCAGAAGAGATGAGGAATAGGGTTAACTCTGTAGAAGTAGAACATCAGGGTTAACTTTGTAGAAGGAGAACATCATTATTTCTGAGATCAACGTTGGGATGAAGATAATAGGGAAAAAAAATTGTTCAGATATAAACGAGTTAGGTAAAGAATTCTAGAAGAGCCCAGCTGGTGCGGCTCAGCTGGTAGTCCCAAGCGGTCACTGGCTGGATTCCCAGTCAGGTCACATGCCTGGGGTTTCGAGCTCGACCCCCAGTAGAGGGTGTGCAGGAGGCAGCCATTTGATGTTTCTCTCATCACTGTTTCTATCTCTCCCTCTCCCTTCCTCTCTTTCTAAAATCAATAAAAACATTTTTTTAAAAGAAATCTAGAACAAAAACAAAGCAACAATCAAATCAGATCACCCCGAGGGTGAGGTTGACTATAAAGTTAGAGAAGTGCTGTTGGACTTTGGAAAGAGGAGTCAAAGCTCTGAAAGTGACAGGGAAATATGAATTCAAAAGAAATAAACATACATATGATGAGATTATAATGCTAAAGGTAAAAAGGGGGATACAATAACTTAAAAGTTGATGTAAAGTGCTGGCACAAAAAGTAAGGTATCATAAGGTTAGGTTAATTAAGGGGGGTGGGGAGGAGGGAGAACTATGAGAAAGGTGTGGAAGCAATCAAGAAAGGTGGGAGAATTCTTGAGAGGAGCAGCTGATAATTATCAGAAAGTAACATAAAGGTCATGTTATGATTTTTGAGAAAATCACTTTCATTATACTTTAATTCTGACTTTTTAAAAAAAGAATCAATCTAACTAGTTTATATCTGAACAATTTTTTACTATTTTCAACAAATAAAATCCATCCTAAAAGATGATTATACTAATAAGATACAAATGAATGTGATCTGTGAGGTTTTCTCTGCATTCTGTACATATGTACTAGGTACTCAAATATTCTAAGTTGAGTGAATTAATGAAAAAATTCCAATAATGGCATCATAACTAGAATAGTTTCTCATTTTACTGACTGAATGCAAGGACAGATAGCTTGACAGATAGGTGGACAGAGAGGGATGAGAGAGAAACAGATTCAATCAAGTTCTTAGCACCACTGAAAATCCTGGAGTCTCTCAAAGTGACTGCTTTGAAGAGAATAACACTCATGAGATTACATGCATTTGTTTGGTAAATATATTTGAAACATTTACATTTTTATCTTTAAAAATAACCATTTTGAAAGTCCTATAGGAAAAAGAAATTCCCATCAAAAACTATTTCTCAAACAGACCTATATAATTTATTTAGTCTAAATGTTCTTACAATTTTAGTTACAGTAATTTTATGAGTTACTATGCTGGAAAACAGTACCAGACATTATCCTAGAAATTCTCTATTGCTAGATGTTTTTAGCTCCTTGAAGAGAAAAATTGGTTTCTAACAGGATAACTGTTTTCAAAAACCAAACCTGTTGTATTATAATTCAATTGGTAATTACAGATGTTTAACTCATCTTACCTCATCATATGATTCACATAGGCTTTGCTACAGCTAGTGTTGTATCTGCAAAAACTACAGTGGACATACGTAGGAAAGTGATTTGAAAGATCTTTTATTTCGGAAAAACACTCAATGCACCTTTGAATTCCCCGACGGTACCTTATGGAGATATAAAGAAAATGGTAACAATATATTTTAAAACAAAAATAATAAGGGAGAGCTTTATTAATGTTCTGTTAATTAAAACCACGCTGTTTAAATGAACATATTTAAACAGACTTATAACTTGAAAATTTGCTATGAAACAACAGCTAGGATAAGTGTAATATCAGTTAATGCCTGTCACTGGAATAAAAGAAATTAACCAATTCAAATGTCATAAGATAGAAGCATAAAATATAATAATACCAATATAATAGATGAATATTATAGGAAAAATATAGGAAAGTACTGTTCAACAACAGTTGTTAAAAAAAAAATACTTATATTATTTGCTTGGTCTTTATGCCATAAGTGATAGCATATGAAAGTTGAGAGTTGTGTGCATTTAGATGAAATAAAGGTTTTATTCTTTTATTTAAGATTAAATTAGTATTATATATCAGGAATAAAAGATTACCTTAAGCTCCTCAATGCTGTATTGACTTTACTTTTTCTGTTGCTACTAGCCAAAGTGCTTTGTTTTTTTTGCATATTAGAGACTTTTGATTTGAATTTAGATTTACTTCCATTAGGCTTACTTGTAGTAGGTTTACTTGTATTAGATTTAGTTGTAGTAAATTTATTTGTGTTAGATTTTGTGGGATTTTTAGCAGTTACACATTTTGTTCTCGGAGGTGAGGCCTGAAGGGTAGAAGTGTTTGTACTAATGGAAGGTACAGTTGAAGATCCTGATTGAAGAGGTCCAACTGAAGCTCGAATAGTAACCTACAAAAACAGAGATAATATTTACTTTAGATAATTAATCCTTGCATAAGTATTAAAATATCACCATGTAACAAAAAAGTTAAATATCAAGTATTTTTAAAAGAGTAAGTATAAACTATAATTGGACAAGTCTTCCATTTATTTTAAATACTTAAATGAAATTAAAATTTGATATTTACTTACATTTTTATACTGATCAGTTAAATGTTATTAACAGATAATTAGGAATTATATGGGTATTAAAAAGAGCACATTCCATAGCTATCTTTATGCTCTGATGTAATTTAAAAAATTCATAGAGGTCAAAATTTAAATCTCAAAACCTGAAAAATAACTCTGGAAAGGCCTGCATTACCCTTTGCCCTGCATTACCCACAGTAAGTGTGCCCTGCATTACCTAGAGTAAATGTGACCTCCTCTTTCCAGGGGCTCATTTAGCAGAATTTATGTTTACAAAGGTTGTGGGGTGGGAGGGGCTACATCAATTCAATATATTTCATGGAGAGTGTAATAACATTTAGAATTTCCTTAAAGAGAACTAATATAAAGCTTATGAGGTAGTATTCAAAAATTCTATTAGTTTAGTTGACAATGGAAAACACAAATGCCTACCAACATTCTCATTAATCATATGACTATTCTCCCCTCATGTATTTATTATGAGTAGTCTATGAGGAAGTCCTATAAAACATGTGTCGCAGCATACAAAAGCAATGAACTGGAATCAGATTTGAAGTTAAATCTCATACAACTCCTTCCTAGTCATGTGGCCTAGAATAAGTAACTTATCCTCTCTAAGCTTCTTTACCTAAATACTATGGGACAATCCCTGCTTTGTTTATCTCACCAGATTGCTGTATGAATTAAAAGAATCTATGAAAAAGCATACTGAAAGCCTAATTCTAAGGTGCGAGAAAAACATTTAGTATCATTATTAATATTATTATTGCTATTATCATTAATAAGGGAAAATATGAGAGGACTGCACCGCTTACATTCATGTTATGCATGTCTAGTCCCAGCATGGAATGAATGGATTGCAGGGAAGGATGCTGGATAGCTTCTCTTGCTCTAGGTCTTCAGAGCATGGCTTTACATTGTTTAGTTAATTCAAATAACAGACATACCCACATTCAAAGGTAAGTACCCAAAGCCAAATATAAATTTTTGGGGATTATTTCACTTTGGATTATCCATGTCTCTGTTTCCCTCCACTGGAGCAAATATTCAAGAGCTGACTGTATATAAAGAAGTCAGAAAAAAACAGGAATATAAGGCAAAAAGGGAAAGGTAAAATACAATCATCAGTATGTAGTCAGACATGTGTTTGCTCACTTAAAACACAATGCTATCCAGCAGCAGAACTTGTTTCTCTGAGAGTAGACTCAGTAATAACAGCTTCAATAAACATCTAAGAACCTATGGCATTCAAAGCACTATACTAGATGCTGAGGACACAAAGATAAATAAATCATGATTCCTGATCTCAAATAGTTTAGCAGATAAAACCCATATATATATATACTGTCTACAAGAATAGCTCAAAAATAGGCTATATAATATTGACACAACCCACTGACCCAGGAAACACAATATCTAGTTGCACTTTTTACAAAGGAATACCATTCTAGCATAGCACACACAACCACTGAAAAAAACAATGGTTAGGTTTTTTTTCTAAACATAAGAATGCTAAAATTTGACATTGGAGTCTTAATAAAAATCAAAAACCATTTTTTAAAGTATTATATTCCATGGATAAAACCAGATAGGAGTTAATTTTATTATCATACCGTACGTTAAAATACAACATATTTACACTCACTTTTGTTCCAGGAGGTAGTCCTTCTAGCTCTTTAGGTTTTATAAATGTTCGATGATGCTGAGTCTTGTGATCCATTTTCTCTTTGCATGTCAAAAATTGCAGTCTGCATTTTGTACAACGATGTATTCCTTTTTTCTGTTTAGAAAACAGGAAAAATGATTTCTACAACCACAAATCCTGTGTCCTGCAACTGTTCTGATTTAACATTAATGATACCTAAATAATTTTTAAAATAGTATCTTATATCTCTCATCATAAATATTAGTGAAGTATTATTTCAATTTTTAAAATACTCTTTGCATTAGTATTTAGGTTTCAAAAATGTCTGTTACTGTACAGAAGCTGAACATGAAAGTTGTATCAATAGCTTCTAATGAAAGGTATCTCAATAGTGGTATTAAAGCTCCATTAATTATAATTTTAAAGTATTTAGACACAGGATACTATGAAAATGAGCTATACTATGTTTTTATCCCAGAAAAATATAAATTATTTCTCATTTTTGCTCTTTCTGGTTGGTAAAAAGTTGGTAAAAGAAATTTAAGTATCTAACCAGACATTTAAAGAAAGTTGTTATAGAAATGCTTGTATAAAGCAGTGCTAGCTAATAAAATTTTCTTCAATTATGAAAATGTTCAAGAGCTGCACTGTCTGATACAGTAGCCACCAGCCACATGTAGTTAACTGAGTACCTGAAATGTGCTGGACATTTATTTAATCTTAAATAGTCACAAATGATTAGTGGTTACCACACTGAATAGTGTGAATATGGAGGAATAAATCAAAACTATCCCTGATACACTTACTGACTGAAACACCTTGACTGAGTCCCTCCTTAAAACCAACCCTGTCACTATGCTATAGATGGGAAATAGGACCCAAGAAAAATCTAAATCATTTCCCCATAACTACTAAGTAACATTGCCAGATTCCTGACCCAACATTTTTCCTACTACATAATATCAACTACAAACTTTATCTATATGGTTTCATTAATTTAAAAATTACTTATGTATATACATATAAAAATACATACATATAAACTTAAATACAAAAGAATGTTTTCTCTAAAGTTGCAATGTGCGAGATAAATCATTACCATTTAAATATAATCAATCACTTTTTAACCTAAAATAAAGTTAATATCCTGGGAAGAACTTGCACAATTATTGGTACACAGCAGGCATTTCATAAGTTCTTTACAAAGTTCGAAATCCAGTTCCCAGAAATCTTTTCTATATCTATAATCACTCCTTAGGTTACCTCATCCAGTTTCAAGGCTTTAATACCATCTATCCAACTCCTTACTTAACATTGCTATTTGATGTCTAATATACATCTCAAATCAACATGGACAAAATTGAATTCTGAATTTCCTCCCTATATCCCTGCCCCCCAAAATTTGTTCTTTCCTCAGTCTTCCCCATATGACAGTATGTGAAAACTCCATTCTTAGGACAAAAAATTTGGTCACTCTCTCTCACACCCCATACCCAACCCATTAACAAAACCTGTTGGCTTCACCTTCAAAAACTTGCGTAATATTTCCACTTCTCATCACCTCCAACCATGGCTATCTATCATATTGGTCCAAGTAACTCTCCTGGGGTACTATAATAATCTCCTATCTTCTCCCTGTCATGTTCTTTCCTCCCTGTAGTGTATTCTTCCCATAGCTGTCAATGGTACTACAACCTGGCAGACCTTTCACATGCTTATAATGCTGTGAGGGCTTTCTGAAGCCCTGGTTCAGGTTTACAAGGCTTTACAAGAACAGGCCCATGTTCTATTGCTACAACCTTATCTCCTACTAGTCCTCATTAGGTTCCTCTGCTTTGGCCACACTGGCCTCTTTGGTTGTTCTCTGAGTATAAATTCACTTACCTCTCCCAGATTTCCACATGCCTTACTCCCTTATTTCCTTCAAAGAGGCCCTTTTTGACCACTCTCTATACAAAACGGCAAACACTCCTCCAACACTTCCCAATCCTTGGCACTCCCTATCCTCCACATTTCCTTCCACAGTAACTATCACGAGCTAACATGCAGATATGCTCAAATATAAACACACATTTTTTATTATCTTTCTCCACAATAATATGAATTCCAGAGGATACAAACTTTGTTTTGTTCATTGCTACAAAAAACCTAAAACAGCACCTGGCACACAGTGAGGCAACCAATAAATATTTGTTAAATAAACGGACAGTGAGGCAGAAAGAAAGAGAGTGACAGAGAAAATGCATATGAGCAGCAGGTACAATTTAACTAATTCAAAACATCTGACACTCCAGTCAATGAACATTTGTCCAGAGCCCTGAGAGAGAATACATTAATCTATTATTCCCTTAGTTGGACACAAGTATTGAAATCTCTTATGTGTATATATGCATTTCAAAGTGCTGATGCTGATATTTTAATAATGTGATGTTCAGTCAACAACAACAAAAAAATAGTGATCATTCCAAGGGTAGGTAAATAATTGTCTATGTTTAACTTTTGACAAGCATACTACATTATTTGGGAAACTTGAGGGATTTGAGGGTAATTCTGACTTATTATAAGTATTTTCTGCCCTTATACATTAATACCAATGTGAAATCTGACTCTGTGGGAAAGCAACAGAAGGCTGGGCTCTGAAGTCAAATTTTAACTCTGCTTTTTATTAGGTAATGTGACATTGGACAAGTTACTTTCTCTAAAACTTAGTTTTCTTACCTGTAAATTAGAAATAATAATATACATAGGGTAAGTGTAAGGATTAAATAAGGTAATGCATGTAAAACACCTGCTGCTGCCATAAATGGTTGCATATCGTTTTAACTACTTGTTATTTTTATTAAAGATCTAATGAGCATATTTAACACATCAAAAATCACTATTTTAAAAGTCATACAAATTGGGTAGTCAGCTCTAAAAATCACCCAAGACTTACTCATAGAACCTCTGAGAGAAAAGTTACAACCAAAATCTTCAAAGACAATAAAATGAGCCACACAGTCAACAATTCTTATTGTTTAATATCACACTAATAATGTGTTATCAATTACAAGTTTATAATCCTGCTCAGCTAAGGTTTTCCAATCTTTTGTAAATAATTATATAATTTGTAAATACCTTAAAGGATGCTTGAATATCCTTCTTATTAATAGATTTCCCCCTCTCTACTGCTGGCTATCTACCTCCTAAGTACTCCTAACAAACAAACAATAAAAACCTGGGAACCCAAGGCAAATTAAGACATAAAACTTAGGGTACAAAAACTGATTATAAATCACAGAGCCCACATAGTAGGCTCACACATTTCTTGCATAATTATCATTCTTCCACATCTACATTTTACTCCAGAGCTTAGTAAATAAAGCATATGGGAAAAATTACATGAAAAGTCCCATAATGAAATAGATCTACTATCTCATATCTCATTTTCCCTTTCAAAATTAAAGGCCAAACATTAGAAAGAGTACCAGAAGTATTGTTTCCCAAACTCTGTTCCTCAATAAAGTTAACAGATTTTCTGAAAAGATTCTGTGGTCAAATAAGTTGGGGGAATATGACATACTTATATCCCTTACTTGGAGATTTATAATGTTTTAGCATATTAAAACCTCTGAGAAGTCCTATTTTAAGAAACAGACAAAACTGTTTAATTTTATAAATCCAGGCATTTACCAAATTTATTTACCAGTAACAATTTGGGAGGAAACATCTATTAACACATGATGGGACACTGTTAAGGAAACATAGAACAAAAAATCTTCACAGAACTTCTCAAGGATGGGTAGCATCCCAGTCACAACATAGGTAATTCCAAATTCATTTGGAAATTCTTTTATAATTTTTCCCAATTAAAAACCATAAGTCAATTTTATGATTATCTAATGATTGAAATGGAAAGCAAAGTGAGCAACCAATGCTGAATAAACTGGCATGTCAATTTAACCAATAATTAAAAATATGATGAGCATCATGAGAAGTGAGGTGTCAAAACTTGGTTACGTGATCAGATTCAGTAAATCCATTGACTTCTAGGTTTGGCAATGGCACTAGTGCTCTTACAAGCACTAAAGAACAGATTGTGTTGCATCAAAGTTTTCAGCCCAAACAAAGGATGGTTTAATTGCTTCATGGAAAAGAACCAGTAAGCAAAAAATCAGAATTCAAGATAGAGGTATAAGCACTAATCCTGGGTTCCAAAAATTACATAACAGAACTGGTAGAAGTCACCCAAGAAACAAATTATGACCTAAATGCAGTTCTTTGACAATGCTCACATATCCAGCAATAAGTGTCATTACTATTTCCTTTGTCATTGGCAGCTATAAAAGACCACTGCTGGTCAATGATGACAACATGTTTTCTCAGAATAAGAGGGCTAGAAAGTAGCAATAAAGTAGTAAGAGAAAGAGGAAAATAAGATTATGAGTCCCCAATCTTTTCTTTCTCAGTTCAACTTCACCTTTTCACATGCTCCTGTTATCTACCTTCAAAATCCCATAAACATTCTCAGACCCTGAGATATTTGATCTTATTCCACTCATCTTCCCTTTTTTCCTTCAATCCTTAGGTTTCCTATCTCTAGCTATCTTTCAGAATTTTCACTTATGAGCCACAACATCACCAGAAAGGAAGCAAGGTAAAGTGGAAGTTTCACAAGTAATGTAGCACAAACTGAAAATTAACAGTGTCATTTGGAACAATTTTACTTCCCTTGTAGAACAAATCTTATGTTTCTAGGTCATAATCTATCTTTTCGCTAAAACAACATGAAGAAATAAGAACTGGTCATCTCACCTGATGCTTCATATAATGATGCATATAGGGTGTGGCAATTTTAATAACTTTGAGGCAAAATGGACATAGCAAGTTCTTAGTGTTTTCATGGGATGATCTAAAATGAGTTTCTACATCAGAAAATGATGACGATCTATAATTGCAAACCTACAAACAAAAAGAATGTTAAGCTTAACTTGAAAATGTACACAATATACAATTACCGAGTAGTACTACGTCATTTATTTAGAAGAACATTACGTACACCTAATTCAGCTCTGATGCCTACACAACCAAGAATCCCATTAACGCAAGCACTAGATGATCTTTGAGACAGAAAAGTTATCTTTCCAAGTTAAGGGATATTTCCCAAAATATAATTAGAGTCCCTTCTTTTCATTAGATGTTTTTATGTATCACCCCCTATCCTGACTTGAATTTTCAAGCTCTGACACTTCTTGTCCTATAAAGTTTTTTCTGCTATGTAAAACAGCATCTTCCTTTAGATTATAAATTGCCTCCAGGCTACGGCAATGGCAATTTATTTTAATCATGCTTTCCTATTCCTTCAAATTCTGGAAAAATACTAGGCCCAGAGAATTTTATAGTATGCTTTGTATCTAAAATAATTTCATATTTCCCTTGTATAACTATATTCTTCCCTATATAGTAAGATAAATCCAGAGTTTGTCTTTTCCCCTCAGAGCTTTTCTTTGTCGTATAGGAGTGAGTAAACAATGGCTTGTGGGTCAATTCCAAATCTCTACTGACCTTATACACAATACATGAATTATGTCACAGGACTTTCTACTAATAAATTATTTACAAGAGGAATTTTAACAGTAAATTTTATCTAAATGGTTAGAAAATAAAATAATGTATTTCATGACACAAGAAAATTATATGAAATTCAAATTTGTGTCCATATATAAAGCTTTATTGAAACACAGCCACATTCACTTATTTATTTTCTGTGGCTGCCTTTGTGCTATAGTGGCAGAGTTGATTAGTTGCAACAGAGACTGTATGACCTTTAAAGCCTGAACATTTACTATTTGCCCCTTTTACAGTAAAAGACTTGCTAACTCCTGGCCTAATAGGTTTAAATCTTGTAACCAAAATAACAGAAAACAAACAAAACAAACAAACACTGAGTACACAATAAAATATGTGTATACCTGGCAAATATATGGCATTTCACCGGGTTTATGATTGTCCTTCATATGTTGTAAAAGAATATGCTCTGTTTCAAATGATAATTCACAGATTTTGCAAATGGCTAAAAGTGGGGGTGGGGGGAAGACATTACATCATTTCAAGATATATAAATACATATACACACATACACACACACGCACATATCAAATCATTATCTGTACACCTAAAACTAATCAAATGTATGTCAATTATACTTCAAAATATTTTTTTAATTTTTCAAATAAAGTATTCTTCTGAGGCAAACAAAGATATATATATATAGATATATAATTCATTTTATGCATCTATAAACAATAACAGTAATAACAGCAGACTTGGTGGTGGTGGTAAACAGTTAGTTTTGCAGTTAACTATGTTCTAAGCACTTTACTTACAATAACTCATTTAATTCCCACAACGACATTATGAAGGAAGTATTTCTATTATCCCCATTATTCAAATATTAAGAATAACTTGCCTGAGATCACATAGCTGTATTAAGAGGAAGATCTGGGATTTGAACCCAAGGGGTCTAGTTCCAAAATCTATGATTTTTAACTACCACTACTAGTTACTTTTCTTATTCAAGTTTAAATAAAGGGCATTAATTTCATATTTGAAAACTGATCTAAGGCTTCTAACTTAGCCCCTCACTTATAATGCTCAGGTTATTTTCCTTGAATTATTTAAAAGAGTGACTTTAATTTTTGTAATTTTATTTAAAAGTTTATATTAATCAAAATGTAACTTTTTCCATTTTACCCTCAAATTCCCAAGTCTTTTTCTTATTCTTATTGTTCTAACAAGCTTAAGGTTTTCTCAGAATATTGACAAAATCAATAATATTTGATACTTAAAATGAAACTGTAACTTACTAGAAAATTCATGGGGTGTGTGTGTACTTTCAATGTGACATTGCAGTTGAAATGGTGTGGGAAACTGACGGTAGCAGTGCTGGCAGGTGGTGTGGTTTTCCCAGCTTTCACTGCTCTGCTTCTCAAGTTCCAAATGGTGTTTCATGTGGTTCATAAACCTATAAATGATTGTCAACAGGTGCAAAATTCAGATTTAAAAACAAAAATCTCACAAATAATTATCTGAATCTTAGAATATAGATATATTACATGAAATAAATTACATTCCTCTAGAAAAGTGTGCACTCTAAACAGTCACTTTCATTAAGTGACTACATAAATATCTTTTTTTAAATCTTTGTTTTAAAAATCCATTAATGTAATAATCGGAAATATCACTAATTTTCTGGGATTTAATCGTTTCAGATTATTAAAATGTTTTCTTAAGGTGAAAGAGCAGGCTTCTTTTTCATACATGAAACACTATTTACATTTTTCAATAAAATACTCATAGGAAGGAAACCCTACCACCAAAAGCAGCTACGCAGTTATGAGAGTAATCCTGTAAGGCCATGAAGATATACAATAGATTCCAGTTGCTAAAAGACAAATTACAGGTATTTTTACTTGTGTCTTAGTTTCTAAATGTATGTACTAGCAATTTTAATGCCTACAATTATAAAAACTTTTTGTTTTATTTAATGATACTGGTTTACTGTTAGCACAGACTGTTCATTTTAACTTGCAGACTGTGCCCTTTGTAGGCAAAGTCCATTTTTCAGTTTTACATCCTGCTATGTCAACCTACCTTAGAGGCTTCTTATGAACAGGAACTATGACCTTCAACAACAGAAGGTGCAATATAAAAGGGAGTACCTATTTAAAAGAGCTTACTGAATCTTTTTGCTATAGTTGAAAGTTATTCAATCAAAATAACAATTTTTAGACTGGGGCCACTATTAACAATTATTCACTTTGAGTCCCTAAAGGCAGTAATCTTAAAACAAAGTAATAATGCCATCAATATGGACAGCTATCATCATGAAGGTCATAACATTTATCTTTTTCACATATCCACAACACTACTTCTCTTTAGAATAGGTTATGACACTCCTTGAAAAATCTTTTTGTCCTCCTTTGGTTTTAATACCAACTCTATGAACACCTATAGAAAATCCTAGACTTGGTTAAATATTTACACATAGAGAAAAGTGAGCCATTAAAATTTCAGCTTACAACTTTAAGCAATTAAAAGTTTATCTATATAATCACTTAACTAGCAAGCTTTCCCTCAATTATTATATGAGCCCCCATCAGGAGCTCATACTACTTAAAACAACAGATGAAAATGAGGGAAACAACGAAAAAAAAGAAAACAAACCTCTTGCAAGGATGTTCACAGAATAAATAAACCTAAGTGTTTTTGGTGAGACTCAATATACGGGAAAAATATACCATACCACAATATGTTCAAAGGGCAAAGCGTAAAAACCTAGATCTGTGAGTTTCATGCCATTCTCTACAAATATCAATTGCCTTTCCATTTTTTTCTATAAAGTAAAATATTATTTAACATATATAACTTCTTCTATTATCAAGTGTTTCATTAAAGTTACATTTACTAAATAATCAGTATTTCAAAAAAATGTCCAATTCCTGGATGTTATAAAAAATTGTCTTTGTTTAAAATGACTATATAATTCTGATATTCTAGAAATATGTATCTAGTCTTCTGAAACAACAGCAAAAAAGGAAATGTTTTATTTTCATACGTTTAATACTAAATGGGCTAATCTTAAAGGAAAAGCCAAAAAACTGTTGCTAAAATAACTTCCAACATAATATACATAATATTTAGGTATAACAAGGAACTAAGTCAGTGACCATATTTCTATGCAATTTAATATATTCACTACCATAACTTTTCTGATGTATTTTACTATCAAAATTGTCAGAATATGGAAATATGTGACAATTCTATTATAATACTGTTTCAGTGTTATATCACAAAGTATAATACCTTTCTGTTAAATGGCTAGAACCATTCTCTATTGATGACTGTTAAGGTTTAATAAAAGGAGATAAATGTGAAAAATCATATGAAATAATATATGTGAAAGAACTTTGCAAAGTAAAACACTACCATAAACAAAGCATTAAGAATTGCTATAGAAGTATAGCATAGTGCATTTCAGGATTTTTCTGTCTTCTTTTTGAACCCAAGAGGAACTGACAGGAAAATAAAATAAACACTGGGTCCAGAAGTAAAATACTGATGCCTAAGAATGCTAATTATAAATAATAGTTATCAAGGATAAACACAGAAAGGCATATTTATATCTGTATATATGTTTGTGTACACAAACACACAACTCACCTAAGGGAAGTATAGAAGCACAGTAAAATGTTAATGATAGAATCAAGGTGGTAAGTATATAGGTGTCCACTGTAAAATTTTATAAAACATTACTGAATGTTTAAAAATATTTTATAATAAAATTATGGAAAAACAACCATACCTAATATACATGTAAAGCTATATAGCCAATGAAAAATATTGATCAATATATCTTATTACTTTGTTCTTTAACACATTTATAAGATGACAGCTACTAGAGTTTGCTGTGTAACTCAAAGATTATAAAGTTTAAGTTCCTAAAATTTAAAGCAAACATGTATAAAATCTTCAAAATTCCACTGCAAATTAAATCTCTAATTTTTAAAGGGGTTACATTTTAAAATAAAGCAGACATTCTTTCTAAGAAACTGGTACTTCTCTAAAGAAGATCACTTTTTATGCAATGTAAATAATTTAAAAAATATAAATATCAACTGACAAATTTGAGCATTAAATAAAATTAAGTCGAACTGGCCCTAACTGGTTTGGCTCAGTGGATAGAGTCAGCCTGTGGACTGAAAGGTCCCAGGTTCGATTCCGGTCAAGGGCATGTACCTTGTTTGCAGACACTTCCCCAGTAGGAGGTGTGGAGGAGGCAGCTAATCGATGTTTCTCTCTCATCAATGTTTCTAACTCTCTATCTCTCTCCCTTCCTCTCTGTAAAAAAATTAATAAAATATATTTAAAAAAGAAAGTCAAACTGGGCAAAACATAAAAAAGTGTTCTTATAAAGAAAAATCAAATTCAAAAGCAGCTAAAAATACAAATTATCTCATGAAATTCCTAGATCACAGATAATATAGGGAAAATAAGTTAATTGTGCTTTATTTGAAATAATGTTCATCCTTTCTTAAGTTATTTATAAGAAATACAGGTAGCTCCAGGAGTCAACTCTAAAATACAAGAAAGGACAAAAGCTTTTCAACAAGAGAATCTGCCTTTTTTTGTTAGTAGAAAGTGTTAAAAATCTAGACTGGCACAGAAAAATAGCAGATAAACACAAAAAATTTTATCTGCAGCATTCCAATTTTCAAATAGAAATAAGTATTTACATACCTAATATTATTTTTAAGAATTTTCAAGCAACTGAAGCATTTAAAGGTGGTGTGAGTCTTCTGTTCTTCTTGGACATCTCCTTCATGTTTTCCATAATAAAAGTCATTAACCAACATGATCAATTTTCCTTGCTCTGAATCAATAGTGTTATCTTTATTTGCTGTACTTGAAAATTCAGTTTTAGGCAGTCCCAAAAAGTTATTTATCATGTCTGGACAACAGTACTGAAAGAGAAAAAAAGAGAAGCCCTCTTTACCCTTTAAAAACACAGATACCCCCAAATTTTCTGTGCTTAAATCCATTGCCAGACCATGTAAAACAATGCTTGGTAATGTAGCTAGAAAAATATTCACCAAAAGTTTGTGGTGCATATACATAGTCTAAAACAATTCAAAAAAAGAAAACCTTAAAATCAGAACTTGCTATTGATCTAAAAGTATCTTCCTTGCAATTAACTGTTTCAGATGTATTGATAATAATTTAAATACTTTAATTAAAACTAAACTAAAAATCATTTATTTCATATCCATGTCTAGAAAGAGTCTAGAAAGGAAATGTAATTTTAGGTGTCATAGTGTATATATTAATTATTAGGTGACATAGTAAATTTCGTAATATATGGTTGGAATTGGACATTGAGCACAGCTAATCTGCCATTCCCCATACTCAAAGTGCTGTAAAATGTATGGGGAAAAAGAAAGAAGTATCAAGTATGTCTTGATAACATCAACAGTTACATCTTGATATCCAGAATGGTTAAATATTTGAAGGGGATTTTTAGTTCCTCATGAGTAAAATCAGCGTATTACATAAACTGATTTTAATATGGAACACTGTCATACACGAGCTTTTTTTCCCTAGCAAGATATAACTAATTCATTTATTTACATAATTTTAAGTGCAAAATTTACCTACAGTAGATTTTCTCAGAGGAACACCTGCATTAGAAAAACCAAAAGTGCTAGTCAAAATGCTAATTCCTGGGCCCACTTCAGACCAATAAACCACAATGTCAAGAGGTAGACCCCAGAAATCTGCCTTTTTAATAGCCATCCAGATAATTCTTTTAAAACATAAACCAACTGACTTAAACTCTTCCTAAATGTGTAATTTAGTAAATTTGTAGCAACATCAGAAAGTGTGAAAATCTAAAAGCAACTCTATTCCATTTCTAAGATAACAATATCCACTTCCTCTCCTGTCACAGTGAAATGTTAGATCATCAGTGAAACTTTCTGTGTCTCATGAGAAGCTGGGCCTTTGATCCAAAGCAGACCTATAATGTTTCCTTCAATTGCACTTATTTTGTTCACTTTTCAGTTTTGAAACCTATAAAGGAAAAGAGACCAATAAAAACCAAGCCCACAAAATCTAAAGTACACCAAAAAGAGAGGGGGGGAAAATACTGAATAAAATGGACTGAAAAATAGAGTTAAGGTTGTGCCCCAAAACAAAATCAGGATAAATGTATTGGTTCTCTAATACAAAATGATCATCTGCAGTCCACTACTAAGAATAAACACAGTTGGCCCTAGCTGGTTTGGTTCAGTGGATAGAACTTCGGCCTGCAGACCGAAGGGTCCCGGGTTCGATTCTGGTCAAGGGCACATGCCTGGGTTGCTGGCTCCATCCCCAGAAGAGGGTGTGCAGGAGGCATCCAATCAATGATTCTCTCTCATCATTGATGTTTTTATCTCTCTCTCTCTCCCATCTTCTCTGAAATCAATAAAAATATGTTTTTAAAAAAGAATGTAACAAAGAGGAAAATGAGAAAGGTTTTTCTATATTTCTAGATTCTTCCTGAGACAAATAATATTGAAGAGCTCAAACTTAGGAAAGTCAAGTTATTTCTAAGGACTTTAGTCAGGCTAAATTTCTTCTTAAAAATGCTGTTTTTTACTTTAAGGAGAAAAAGATGGATCAGAGTAAATCTACCAGCACTATTAGAAAAATGATTCAAAATTTATCTTACTACGACAAATGACGTTATTAGTAGCATCAGTCTGATAGACAAACTTCTCACCTTATCCAGTTTTACTAGAGAGGATCTCAAATAACAATGGGAAAATGTTATAATGCACAAAAATGATGTAATACAGGTTAGTCTCCCTAACCTTATATACTCAAACATTAAATCTGACTTTCAGACTGTAGAAGTTATTCTGAGTCATATTTGATACTTCATTCTTTTCTGAAACCTACAGAATAATCTAGTAATCTATAGTAGAATGTGCTGCAAGGTTTATATTCTTTTTAAAAATATATATATTTTATTGATTTTTACAGAGAGGAAGGGAGAGGGATAGAGAGTTAGAAACATCGATGAGAGAGAAACATCGACCAGCCGCCTCCTGCACATCTCCTACTGGAGATGTGCCCGCAACCCAGGTACATGCCCTTGACCGGAATCGAACCTGGGACCCCTCAGTCCGCAGGCCGACGCTCTATCCACTGAGCCAAACCGGCTCCGGCAAGGTTTATATTCTTTAAAATTTTCTAATTTGGTACATCTATAAAAGTTAAATTTACCCTAATTACCCATAAATTATGATATGTGTAACAAATGATTAATTGCTTGCTGTTCTATTTTCTTTTTTTTAATACAGGTAAGTAAGATAGGATCTTCAACAGTATCTTTTAAACAAGGTTTCATGTCCTTATAAAATGGCTGAATTGATAAACCACTGACAACTAAGAATGGACAAGGTGAATTGAACTAGGTTAAAGGATTTAATAACTGAGAGGACAGCAAAAATACCTAAACAAAATATTCAAAAGGCAAGACAGTAACTGAAGAAATGAGAACTAGTCTTGATTTCAGGTTTTATAGGAGGACAGGGTAAAGTTATGGATTTGCATGGCTGACCTATAGTCCAAGATCAATTGGTCATCTTTATTAAATCTTAGCCTTTCGCTATTGCCCCTGGTTTATCCCTTCTTTTCATGGGTTAGACATTCTGCAATATTAAAAACTTTATTTCAATATACTGTAATATGACAAACAACAGACACCATCTGAACTTCATTCTCATTTTCATTCCTTTCCATTGATAGACCATGTTCTGTTACTTTGTTAGTACTGAAAAATTTAGGTAGGATTTTCAGAGCAAAGAAGATAGGTACCATTTTTAAATAGTAAAATAGTACTTCCCCATACGATCATCCTATGTTATGTAAGTTTAAATTTTCCCCTTCTCCTTCTGGGATTCACCCAAAAGCCACAACAACCAAATTCTAAAAATTTTATTTTCACTGAAACTAAATGCCAGACTAAACTCCACAGACTCCACATTGAAAGCACTACTAAAAGCAGCCAAGTTTAGACAGAAGACATGCAGTTGGAAGTAGATCAACGCAGTCAAAAGGACCTAATAGTAAAGATCTTAGAAAGCCTCAGCAAAAATATACATTCTAAAAGTGAAAGACACATATTGAAGTCCAAAGCTTATAGCCTTTGTTTACAAAATTGGGTATAGGAGCTGGCGCAAGAAGGATGGCAGAAGGCCCCCAGCCCTCACTTGGTAGAAAGAAGTAGAAAAGGCAATGCTACTTATAAAATCAGACACACAAGTCACACTTTCAGGAAGCCTTTTGTCCAGCAAAGAGTAGTAGGCTGTGAGATTATCCTGGAAACCTATGCTCCCCAATAGGAGCCTTGCACAAAACAGCCGAGAAATCCAATTTGTTCAATGATAGGAACTTACATCTACTGGTAAACAAAAATACTTTAAGGTAAAAAGAAGGGAAATGTAAATTTCTGACAAAAAAAAAAAACTGGAGCAGAAGCATGCAAGATGGTAACAGGCTAAAAATCTTCCTCAAGTTTGTAAAAAACTTAATAAAGCAATTGTGTCTATTTGGAAGATCACATGGAAAAGAGGAAATGGCAAGACAAAAAGAAGACATAAAAAAGAGAAGCAAAATTGAAGTAGAAATAACAACTTAGAGAGATAAAGACGAAGCAGAAAAAATGGAATATAATGGTGAATAGACACTGTAAAATAAAAAAAAATTAAATTAAATAATAAATAAATTAAATAAAATAGATGAATAGATGGCATGGGCTAGTAATGAGAAAAACATATAATTGCTTTTTAAAGAAAGAGTTAAAACTACTAGAAAGAAAATGACAGCTATGCCAGACCAAAAACACTGAACAAATATACTAGACAATACTCCCTCCACAAAGGAGCAAAACAACTTTATGGAATAAATATTTAAAAATATAAATCAAGAAAACTGCATTAAAATAAAGACACCAATAAAGAAGTTGAAAAAAATGTATGTTAGAGAAGAAATTGACCCAAAATTTATACTAACCAGTATCAAGTCAGGTTAGTATAAAATTATCAGTCTTCCAAAATAAAAATCCTGTGAACAGCCAGGCCAAAACATCAAATTACTTATGAATGGCAACCTAATTCAGGTTTATCCCAGATTTCTCAACAGTGACATTCAATATTGTAAAACAGGAGCACCACCCACAAGATCTTTAGACTGGGATCAAACTTACTTTATATCTGGCCAAACTGTTTTTTACAAAAATGGAATACAGTGAACACAAAAGAACTCAAAGAATGCTGTTCCCAGGACCTTCTTCAGGAAATTACTAGAGAATGAACTTCAGCAAGAAGTTTGGCTCAGTGGATAGAGCAGCGGCCTGCAGACTCAAGGGTCCCAGGATCGATTCCGGTCAAGGGCATGTACCTTGGTTACGGGCACATCCCCAGGGGGAGTGTGCAGGAGGCAGCTGATCAATGTTTCTCTCTCATCGGTGTTTCTAACTCTTTATGCCTCTCCCTTCCTCTCTGTAAAAAATTCACAATATATTTAAAAGAAACCAAAACAAAACAAAAAAAACCTAATATGCAAAGTGTCCACCTCGGGAGTTCGACCGACCAGGCCTTCGATCATTCACTATGACATGCAATGGCCACTAGGGGGCAGTGCAGAACAAAGGCAGGCCCCGGCTAGCAGCTGGTAGCCAGGGGAGGTCCCGGCAGCTGGCAGCCAGCAGCTACTAGGGACCTATCTGTGCATGAATTTCATGCACTGGGCCTCTAGTGTTTAATAAATAAATTTAATTGAAAAAATATTTTCATATAGGATTGCAAAGGAAAAACAAATATGCTGAAAGCAAGAGACATATTTAAAACAAAATGATTCAGGACTGTTAAAAATAAAAGAATAAACAAAGACTATGTCAGGCAAATGGAAACCATAA